GTTTTGATTTGCGAGAATTTGCAAGGGCGGTAACCGAATTTGCGAGTGGAACAAAGTGGTACAATACCGAAATTTGCCAGTCAAAATTCCAACCCTTACGATTTTTAAAAGTTTTCAACCCCAGCCCTGACTTGTTGTCAGAAACTTTCAAAACTGGTGTCAAAACACTCGTTATAATTAGCAAGCATTTGCAAGTCCAGTTATAGAATTTGCAATTTACTCAGAAAGCCAGTAAGAGCTTTTTAAAGTTTGGAAGTTAGCCCACCAAGGTTGTCCCAGAACTTCAAAATAGGTATCAAACAAAAGCTAATGATTAGCAAGTTCATTTTTAAATTTTGCAAGTAATTTGAACGGCCAGTAAGAGTTGTCAAAGTTACAAAGTTGGCCCACCCAAGTTGCCCTAAAACATTGAAAATCGTACCAAACTATAGATTTTAATTTGCAAGTATTTGTGAGTCCAAAATTAAAGTTTGCAAGTCATTCAGGTGGTCGCTATGAAGTGCCCGCTTACTTTTGAAGTTTTCGGGGTGTTTGAAAGTTGGCAAACCGACTTAACCCGATATACTACAAACCTATTCTAATAACCGGTGTCCAAAGCTTCGTTTTGATTTGCGAGGGCGGTCCCCGAATTCGCGAGTGGCCCAAAGCTGAGATACGAGCTTTCAAAGTTCTGAAGTTGGCCCACCAACTTCACCCGATTTTATCCAAACCGGTGCCCAAAGCTTCGTTTTGATTTGCGAGAATTTGCGAGGGTGGTCTCCGAATTTGCGAGTTCTTTAAAAAGTGACACTTACATGTTAGTTCTGGTAAATGAGTCAGATACGAGCATTCAAAGTTCTCAAAGTATTCGTATTTAAAGTCAATTACTTATTTTCAAATATTTATTTTTATTTCGTTTAACTATGTTTTATTATAAATTTTTCAATTTATTTGAATAAATAAAGTTGGTTCTTTAAATAATGACACTTGCATGTACGTTCTGGTAAATATGTTTGAAATGAGCTTTAAATGTTCTCAAAGTATTCGTATTTAAAATCAAATTATTATTACCTCATATCAAAGCAAAACAAAAAAAAATACATAAATAGATTTTAGTAGGTTAAAGCCCAAAAAAAATGTTATTCTATAAGTGGTTAAAAAATAGATATTACTATTATAAGATGACCTAACCATACCGCAGATTGCCCATGCATTATTTTTTATTAATTATTGATTTTTTATTAAATATACATTTTTTATCAAATAGCTGATTTCTTATTTGTATTTTTTTAGTTTTATTTTGGTTTGTTTTTCAATCTATCGATTGTTTTTTTATTGAATATACATTAAAACAAATTAAACTAAAGCTGGATTCAAAAACCAATCTAAATAAAAATTTAAAAATCTATGTTTGTATCAAAATGTAAAATTAATAAAAATCTATTTGATAAAAAAATCTATTTTGTATGTCAAAAAAAATGCCAGTTTGAATTCACTGGGACCATGCTGACTGCATATAACCTACTAAAACCTTTTCATGTATTTTTTTTTTGTTTTGCTTTGATATGAGGTAATAATTCGAATATAAATCGTCATGAAGTAAAAATAAAAATTATTAAAACTAGGGTTAAATATTTATAAAATTGACTGCAAACAATTGCAAATTGATTTTTAGAATATTCAAAAGAAATTTATAGTATGAGAAAATTAGTTTTCACTTTATAGAGGTTGAGGAGAAAATTTTAAAATGTGGTATGCAATTTGTTACAAAATATTAGGAATGGTCAATTCAACAGCTGTAAAAAAAGGTAAGGTGTAAAGTTGACGCCCACATTATGAAATCATATTTTCCAGGGTAAGTTTGGTATTGCTAACGGACAAGTTGGTGTGGCTATCTAAATTTCACGAAAAACTCGCCAAAATTACAATTTTGATTTGCAAATTCTAAAAATCAATTTGCAATTAATCGCAATTAAGTTGCAAAATATTAACACTGGTTTGTTTCCGATCGGACAAATTGGTTGGTCTAACTTCTCTACTACCATATTATACTATATTGTATGTATGTACAATGTACATTGTACCTACATATTGTAGTCGTTTATTGTATGCCTCAATGAAGCCAATTTTATAAAATCCAATGTGTGGTCGACAGTTAGATTATATTGTATCAACTACTAAGTGTAATATTAACATTTGTTTTATTCGTTAACAGTTAATCCAAAATCGTTACTTTAAGATAAAAATGAAATATACCTTTCGAACTCTTAAGTTGGCTCACCCAATACGACTGTTTTTATTAAATTGTATAATGTTGAATTAAGGCATTGAATAATTACACTTACATATTATATGTTCAGAAAAAAAAATGTAATTCAAATATTTAAAATAAATAAATACCTTTGAAATAATAACTAATAACTAAAATAAAAACAAAAAAAACTTATCTTTGTTAATAGAAACTGAAGTATAAATGTGTAATTAATTAGCACACAGCTTCATAATAGGTTTTGGAATTTAAATAGGAATTTTGACTTGCAAATTTCGGGAGTGGACTTGCAAATTCTTGCTTATTAAAACGAGGGTTTTGACACTAGTTTTGAAAGTTTCTGACAACAAGTCAGGGCTGGGGTTGAAAACTGAAAAATCGTAAGGGTTATAATTTTGACTTGCAAATTTCGGGATTGTACCACTTTGTTCCACTCGCAAATTCGGGGACCGCCCTTGCAAATTCTCGCAAATCAAAACAAAGCTTTTGGTGAAAATCGGTTGAAGTGGGTGGGCCAACTTCAGAACTTTGAAAGCTCGTATCTTAGCCAAGTTCATGGACGTCGAAAAGTCAGTCTTGCACCAGAAAATAGCTCCGCTTTACTTTCTTCCCCTGTTAATGGTGGAGGCCTTAGTTCACGGTAAAAAATGGTCGCCGTGCCTACAGGTGGTCCTACAGGTGGTCTGTTGACGTAAATAATCGTTCTTAATATATTATATTATATAACAAGGTATCTAACTATAATGTCAATAATTTTTAATTTAATTTTTTTCCATTATATTTAATTTAAAATTTTTTTTATTTCATATATTGATCTACATATTCCATTAAAATTTCTGGCTCTGGTATATACATTTTGTAATCGACCAGGTCCATGCAACATTGTTTTCCCAATCTCCCTTTCCTTTTCGATACATCATATAAAAAGGTTACAATACTTTGGGTTATCCTTCTGATTTCGCTTTCCGAAAACGGTTCGCCTAACCACTCGTTCGCTCTTTCTATGTGTCTTGGTAGACACTTTGGTAAATTACCGCCTCCTACTGTGCTTGTGTCATGAGTTTCAAGCAAAATTGCACTGTCCAGATTGATACAGAACAGTTGATTTTTAGTCCTATATTTAAAATTTTGGTTAAATCAATATATCTGCCTAATACGTACTACTATAAATTATATATATTCTTTTTTTTTTAACTGGGATTTTCATAATACTTCTTCGCATCATTCTAATGTACGGTGACCTTCTTCCTTCCCCTTTGAATAACAATGTTTTCAGTATTTTCAGATTGATATTAATATGACGGTGGGCCAAGTTCATGGACGTAGATTTGGTCCCTGCGCTGTTTCATTGCTGAGGCAACAACTAGGCGACACAAGGGAAGTGGTAACAGAGTCCTTTGTCATGGGCCCCATTGCAGATGGTACGATCGGTGAGGCCCCGACAAGGTGGGAACCAGCGTATCCACTGGTTAGCCTCTTCGTGCATGTAGGTATCATATGATACCGCAACTAATTTAATTTTAGCTGTTAAATATTTTTGATCCATTTGTGCATAAAGATATGCATATATAAAGACCTTTTGTCGGTGATCTCGGCCCTAAAAGGTAGCAGGGACGATGTGTCTAGGGCATACTACGACGCGGCTTCAGCAGTCCAAAACGCGGAAGTTATCATAGAACACAGAATGAAGGCGCTACAAAAGCCACACGAGGCAACCACCAGCGACGGCTATAGCGCCCCATCATTAGCTAACAACCTGGCCAAGGAATTCAGCTCGCTGAGAATGGAGTTGGGGGAGCTTAGCAAAGCTGTAAGGAAACTAGCCGACAAGAAGCCGGAGGAGCATGCAGGAATCGCGAAACTACAGACGATGCTGGTGGCGCAGGATGTGAAGATGAGCAAAATGGCAGAGATGGGGCAGGAGGCCAGTTGGACGGATGTGGTCAGACGCAAGAACAAGAAGAATGCTGTTGACGCAATACCAACACCAGGGACGGATACCAGCCCGCCGCTGGCTACTAGGCAACAACGAATCAGGACGCGGCCACCCGCAAGTATGATAGATGTTGCTAGCTGCAACGACTTTCCTGCATTGGCCAAACGCATCAAAGATGGCATGGGCGGCAAGATCATTGTTAACGGAATAACCACCATGAAGAAAGTCAAGAACGGCGGAAAACTTATGGAGGTTCGCGGTGATGAAGCAGCGTTAGAGGCCATAAGATCCGAGGTGGTCAAATCAGCGGGGAAAGATGTCAGCGTTAGGCTTCTAGGTCAAAAAACGATGCTCGAAATCCGGGACATTGATGCGTGTACCGACAAAGAGGATATCGCTGATTGCATGGCAAGAGAGACTCCAATTACCAAGGAGAACATAAACGTTTTCAACCTAAGACCTTCCTATGGAGGCACGCAGACAGCATTGGTACTCCTGCCCACGAGACAAGCACGCGACGTTGTTGAGAAGGGTCGGCTAAAGATCAGCGTCGTCAGCTGCAGAGTACGACAGGCAGAAAGAAGAAGTGCGAGATGTTTTAGGTGCCTTGCTTACGGGCACGACACCAAGACATGCCAGGGAACAGACCGCGGAAAAAATTGCAGGCGATGGGGGATAATAGGGCACTTGGCTAAAGACTGCAAAGCGGAGGCGGCCCAGGCCTGCGGCTTTCAGGTCTATACTGGAGAAGGAGTCGATGGAGGCCGAGACAGGAATCGGGGAAAGCGAGGCGTCGTCATCTGGTAGTGATCTGCAATGATTAACATTATGCAGATAAACATGGATGGCGGGAGAAATGCGCAAGATCCGCTAATGGCTACAGCTAGCGAGCGTGGTGCGGATGTTCTGATCGTCAGCGAAGCTTATCGCTGCGGGACAGAGGAAGAAGGTTGGTTTCCTGACACTTCAAGCAGAGCGGCCGTATTCATTGCTAACCCTACGATACAAGTGCGAGAAATTGGCCGAAGAGACACCGATGGATTCCGGTGGGTTGCCTTGGATGAAATCACAATTTATTCGTGCTACTGGTCACCAAACACAGACTATACGTTATTCGTCGACTTCTTAGACAGGCTCGAGGGGAGCGTTTGAAATGCCCAAGGTGCAGTTATAGTTGCCGGCGACTTCAATGCCAAATCCCCAGTTTGGGGGGACCACAGAGAAGATCTCAAAGGCCAAGCACTAGCAGACATGATGGCAAGCATGGACATGGTGGCATGCAACAAAGGCGACAGTCCTACATTCTGCTGAATATACAAAGGAGGAATCTCAAGGTCGCACATAGACATCACCTTCGTCTCAGGCAACGAACACCTCAATGTTCGAGACTGGGAGGTCCTCGAGGATTTCACAGGGTCCTTGCACAAGTACATCGTTTATAATTTCTCGAACACGAGACGTACAGAGGAACATCCGACGGAACCAAGGTGGTCCTGGAGGAAATACAATAAGGATAAACTTATACAGTACATAAACACTAGCAACATAGAAGATTGAACAGATCCGGTAACTGCCTATACTGCGTTGGACAGCTACCTTGTGGGGGCGTGCGACAGCTGCATGCCCAAAGGCCAGAATAGGCGAGGCAAGAAGCCTGTCTATTGGTGGAATAGCGATATTGAAAATCTAAGGAATGACTGCAAGAAGGCAAGGCGGAGAAGCAAGAGAATGCGCCACAAAGCCGCCGAAGTGCATAAACAGTGTCTTAGCGACTTTAAAAACGCAAAAAATGCACTCAGAAAGGCCATCAAATACAGCAAGGAGTCCTGCTAGAGCAAGTTGTGCTATCAAGTAGAGAAACACCCCTGAAGTCTTCCATTCAAATTGGTCACTAAGAAATTGGTCGGGAGAAGGCCTATCCCAGGACTTTCGCTGCCCGGAAGGATAGAAAAAATCATTTACGGTTTGTTCCCAAGGGAACCAGAGATAACTTGGTCACCTGGAGAGAGCCATGACCCATTTTCAGAAGTGACGTGCCAGGAGATCCGGGAACTATGCAGAAAGATTCCTTCGGGGAAAGCACCAGGTCCGGATGGGGTGCCCGATGTGATAGTGAGGGAAGTCGCAAGCAGAAAACCGGAGATCTTGAGGAGTACAGTCAACAGTCTGATCAAAAACGGCCTCTCCCCCGTTCCGTGGAAGGTGGCAAACCTGGTGCTGCTGGGGAAAGGCAACAAACTGCTGGAGAACCCGTCTTCCTACAGACCGATCTGTCTGCTGAACACCATCGGCAAGCTGCTCGAGAGGATAAAAAAGGGGCTCATGGAGAGACATCTTAGCGACAGCGATGATCTCAGCGACAGGCAGTTCGGTTTTAGGAAAGGGCGCTCCACGGTGGACGCCATTCAAAGAGTCATGGACACAGTGACCAAAGCCGGAACAGGGCCATTGTACAACAGGAAGCTGTGCGTCGTGGTGGCCTTAGATGTGGCTAACGCTTTCAACTCGGCGAGATGGGGCAGCATAATAACAGCCGTACGCGAAAAACAGTTTCCCCAATACCTGGTAGACACACTGCAGAGCTACCTCAGCAGCAGGGAAATTAGGTACGAAGTAAAGACATGGCCCACCACATGCGGCGTTCCACAGGGTTCAGTGCTAGGCCCGCTATTGTGGAACCTGATGTACGATGGGCTACTCAGGATCGACACGGGTGGCAACGTCGAGTGCATGTCATCCAAGGTTTATAGATTATACAGGTTGCCTCATTTTGAAAATATCGAAAAAACAGGAGTGGGAGAAAATGACGCTGTGACGTCATCGTCGTACAAACTATAAACAATGACAAGTGTTTCATATTATGTTTTTATGTAGTTTTGTACTTTCGTTTCGTTTATTTATTTAAATAAATAGTGTTTTAATTTGAATAATTATGGCTACGAATGAAATAAATAAACCTAAAGGTGGTTCTGTTTGCGCGGTATCTACTTGCGTTAATTATTCTGCAAAATCGAAAAATGAAGGGAGAACTGATATTTCATTCCACAGGTAAATACATTTGATTTTTATATTATTACTTTATTCAATCTAGCTATTATAACAATAATAACATAATTACAGTCAATCAAAGTTCACCAACTTTGATTAATTTAAAAAAAACTTGGCAAATACAATGAAATTAATACATTTTTTGAGTGTATTATGAAATCAATAGGTATTTATCAATTTTATAAATTTAAAGTTTATAATATCATAGTTGAATATATAATATTATAACTTATATTAAATGTTTATTCACTTTTTTGCTCATAATACATTTGTTTTGAGGTAATTTTTAATGGCTGTTTAGTGTTTATTTTAATACAGCTTCAGTAGAAACCCCTATTACCAAAATATATAAATATTTAACTATTTTAGTGTACACGGTGTACAATTAGTTGTCTAAATTATATATTATAATTAATTTCAATGTATACCTTAAATAAATTTTTGTGTAGACCTAGCCAATCTTGAGCAAAATACTTCAAAAGTAATAAAATTTAGAGTCTTGAAAAATATGTTAACTCATTATAATTATGTTTATGTTTAACATCCTCCCTTAAAATAATTTGTGTTATTATTAGCATTTTGAAATTAGCATTTTTATGTAATACAAATTTAAATATATTATACTTTGACTGCATTTTTTATAATCATAGCCTGTAAAAAAATATCAATTTATAGTAATATGGGTATTTTGTGCATTGTTATATTAATTTATTAAAATGTACCTACCATACCAAGACTGATTTTTCTTATTTTGGTTAGTAAAAAATATGAATTATTATTCTAAAAATAATGTTTTTATTATTATATACATATTTTATACATTAAATGTATTACCACAACTCGCAAGTGATTATTTTCTTTATTATTGTTAAAAATATATAAAGATTTTTCTATAATTTATTTTGTTTATTAATTCATTTAATACATTTATAGGAATATAATTCCTTTTAAAATAAGACTCATCATCATATTGGAAATTATTTATTAATTTATTCTTTATAATATTATACAAAATATCATTAAATATATAAAATAGGTAACTAAAAATTATGAAATATTATTGACAATGATAATATAAAAATAAAAATAAGTTAGACTAACTTCTTTACTCGACTATTATTGTAAAAAAGTGCATATAATATTAATGACAGGTTTCGAAAAAAATTCATCAGGTATAAAAATAAAAAAGCGTATAATATTATATCATATTATAATATTAATAATTTTAGTTATATTCTAAAAGGTACATTTCGAAAAAATAAACTTTCTATATATTTTCAGAAAGAAAAAGAGTAAATAATTGTATGGCTAATACGTATAGAATATGGCAGGCCGCCGATTTTGTACGACGATGACGTCACATGGCTGGGAATGGTGCGGGGGGTTCGAGTTTGTTTACATGACTATGAGGCAACCTGTATAATCTATAAACCTTGCATGTCATCTACGTAGCTGGTAGCGTTTGCGGGGACTGGACGACTGGACGCACAACCAGCATACTTGAAGAGGTCACCAACAACGCGCTGGCGAAAAAAGCTGAATGGATGGATAGAACAGGGCTAACGCTTGCAGCCGACAAGACTGAGGCAGTGATGTTGACTACAAAAAGAGGCTATGAAAAGCCCGTCTTCTCCGTGAAGGGGGTAGCCGTGGAGCTGCAGGAAGACCTGAGGTACCTGGGAGTCCAACTTTCACGGAAGTTGGGCTTTAAAATACACATCGAGACGGCGGCTAAAAAGGCAGGAGCAACTGCAGAATCTCTACGGATAATCCTTCCCAACGTGGGAGGGGCCAGACAGTGGAAGCGGAAAGTAGTAGCGATGGCAGTCCAGAGCCAATTACTTTACGCAGCCCCGGTCTGGGCCGATGCTCCGGAGTTTGAGTGCAACGTTAAAACGCTCGTTGGACCGCAGCGAAGAATGGCGGTAAGGGTAGCCAAGGCGTATCGCACGGTATCGGCAAACGCCATCTTAGTCGTTGCTGGTATGGTTCCTGCTAATTTAAAAGCGCAGGAGCAACAATTCAAATTCAGAGCGCTGAGACATGACTTTCAGAAAATGGCAGACACAGTGGATTTCAACCGATACGGGATTTCAACCAAGACATCAGAAAATGGACGGACAGGAGATTTGGGGAGACGGACTTCCAAATGACTCAAATGCTCACAGGGCATGGATGTTTTGGCTACTATCTCCCCAAATTTAAGAAGCATGATGACCCGGCATGCGTGGACTGCGGATCACCGGTCGACGACGTCAAACATACTATTTTCAAGTGCGACAGGTGGTGGAGGCAAAGAAGGGAGCTGGAGGTAAAAATCGGAACGGAAATGGAACCAGACACGGTCGTGACGGCAATGCTTTAGAATGCGGAGAATTGGAAGGCGGTCAAGGGGTACACAGGAATGGTGATCTCGACAAAAGAAGAGGAGGAGAGGCGGGTCCAAAGAGGATGAGCTGCTGTAATAATTTAAATTTAGTTAAGAAAAATAATATGTGCATGGAAGGTGAAATTAGGAGGGAAAGAGCCCTCTAACCCATGTAAAGGCTAGGGCCTTAGAATATAAACGAAATGTTGTAATTTGCACAGTAATGTTTATAAATAAATGATGCGGATACAGGGAGGACTATCCAGGATGAAGTGCCTCCCTGTAGCGCCGCGATTCAACAAAAAAAAAAAAAAAAAAAAGGTACATCTCAATTATACCCCAAGCAACAGACATACTGTTTTATGATAGCTAATATAACGGAAATTAATATATACTGGTCAATATACCATTGGGGATTTTAATTATTAAGTACTATTATAATTGTTATTAATCAAATATCACTAATAACCATCATTTTATTGTAAACTAACATAATTTAATTATTATATCAAATATTGTATTGAAAATTATTGTATTTTAATCAATTAACTTAATCAAATGACTAACAAATATTTTTATTTGTATTTAATTTTATATACGTATGTAACATTATTGTATCAATCTATTCATGTGTAATACTCTAGTCGAGTAAATTAAAAAAAAAAATGTAACTAAATATTATCATGTAAATTGTCATGATAAGGCAATGATTAATTATTTTTATATTGTATCTGTAAACTTATGAACTATGCAATTTATGTAAACCAATTGTAAACGTTTATCTATGTAAAATTTTAAAGCTTTTTGTAGCCCTACAAATTGTAGCCCTACAAAAACCTTTGAAAGGGCGGTGAGGTGTAGCGAGCTGTTACTATTTCTTAAATAACTATTTAAATCTCATTCTAATATTATGTACATAATCATATAATAGACGCGCCGCGTAAATACAATATCTTGACACGCGGTAGCGTGTCAAGCCAAGTTCTAGCTAACAGAACTGGCGAGCAGCACCTTGTGTAATATTACACGAACCATTTGGAGCCACTTTTGACCCCCTCATAACTCAAAAACTATTCCACATAAACATGTCAAATTTGGCTCATATATTGAGACTAACGAGATACATATGTGCTCTAAATTTCATAAACACACTTCAAACCGTTATTTAGATATTAACGTCCGAAAATCGTCATTTTTATCACTGACTGACCTATAGATCAAAATTCTAACCCAGTTCCAGATGACCTAGAAAGTTCAAATTTGGCACACAGATAGGTAGTTAGGTAAATACAAAGGAAAAAATGAGAAACTTGAAAATTTTTTAATTTTTAATTTTTTAATCAATTGATTTTATTATAATTTTGTAATTATTTTATCTATTATGTTTAATTTTTCAATTAATTAATGAATTGCCTCTAATTTAATGTAATTTAATGTAATGTTGACTTAAATAACCTTTCCCGTATCGCCGCTCCAAAAATACGACTAGCCGAATATGTGTCGATATTGTCGACCCGCGCGCAGCAACATACTTTTTTTTCTATCTATGTATGTAATTAATATTATTTTTTTTAAATATTACAATTAAAATAATTAAATAATTATTCTTACAAATTATGAATTATCCAGCCAACAGTAGAAACTACAGTCAATAAAACGTAGGAAAATACAATAGTTTAATAAAAACCATTTGGAAATATATAGCTATATATTTAGCTATTAAAAATTTACATACAAAAAGTATGATATCCCAACAAAACATATATGTAAAATGATAGCCAAGTTCAATTATGTAATATATGCTTTGATTGTTGACTTCGACGACAAAAGAAGTGAGATCTAAATGGATGCCAAGTTCAATGGTCAGTCCTGAAATTTATTTATAACAACATGAAATATAATTTCTTCTTATCACTTAGGATAATGTTTTGAAGCCTAACATCTGACTTGGCTAGTTTCCATATACGAATTATGTTATAGCCTTCGCAAGTTCTAAAAAGTTGGGAGTTCTTTTTTATTCTTCTAAAAATTTGGCTTGCTATTACAAATCTTAGATTTAAAAAGAAAAATTTTTACGAATTCTTAACTCAAAATAATTTGCTAATTTTCGTGATTTTTCCATATTTTGTCAATTTTTGAACTTTAAATGCTTACAAAAAAAACTGTGACTAACGATTTTTAATATTTTTCATCTACATTTGAAACAATATACTAGGAGCCGTCTATTAAATTTTCAAGTTTTTTTAACCAACAAATAAAATTTTATTGATATTTCTAGAAAAAAAACTAAAGAAAAATGAAAAAGGTGGGTAAGTGGATGTCGCTCTGCTGTACAGTAGGTTACAAGTGGGTCACTGTATAATGGATGCTTTTAAATTTGAATTCAATGATACAATATCATTGTATAAGAAAAACGATTCTGAGCGAAGACGGTATGTTAGTCTAGGTTTAAGACAAATTATATACATATCTATGGTATTAAAAAAAAAATTGACCTAAAGTAAATTCCAAATTAATCATATCACAATATCCATTAGGTACTTATAACACGTTATACACCAACAACAAACCCTGATACTATCATATATATATAATAGTACACTTTAGAAGTTTCAAGTAGGTACCCACGAATAATATTATATAATCACAACAAAATAACTAGGTTTTTTAATATGTAATTTCGTCCAAATTTGAACATAAAATGACTATAAAAATAAACTGTGATTGTATATTTTTTAGATTTTTCGGTAAGAGAATTAACTACTTACGTGGAATCTTGTTTTAAATTTTCAATCCTTAGCTATAAAAACTGAACATTTTATAATTTATTAATTACGATGATTAATAATTTTCGAGATTTTGAAAAATTCTATCAAAATTCGATGTTAAAATGCTTATAAAAAAAAATTGTGCCTATGTATTTTTAATATTTTTCAACTGATATTGTAACAATATATCAGGAGCCTTGTATTAAATTTTTACACTTTTTGGCCCAACAGATAAAACTAAATTGATATTTATAGAAAAAAAAAACTAAAAAAATTGAAAACTGAAAATGTCCGTAAACGGCTCAAAAAGTGTCAAAATATTTTCAAAATTGTAGGGTGTATAGGAAATGCTAATATAAACATTCAGTGAAATTTTCATGTATCTACAGTAATTCGTTTTTTAATTACAACAAAATAAGGAAATTGCCACATGAGAAATCGAGTGAATATCCAATGTTGTAAACATTTGAATTTCAAACGCTCATAAAAATTTAATTTGACTTTCCGGTAGAAATTTTTTTATTGATAAAGGTAGACAATCTTATGAGTAATCTTGTATTAGATTTTCAAATCTTAGATTTAAAAAGAAAAATTTTTACGAATTCTTAACTCAAAATAATTTGCTAATTTTCGTGATTTTTCCATATTTTGTCAATTTTTGAACTTTAAATGCTTATAAAAAAAAATTGTGACTAAGGATTTTTAATATTTTTCATCTGCCTTTGAAACAACATATTAGGAGCCTTCTATTAAATTTTCAAACTTTCGCAACCAACAAATAAAATTTTATTGACATTTTTAGAAAAAAAACTAAAAAAAAATGGAAAATGAAAATGTCCCTAAACAGTTCAAAATAAATCAAAATATTTTGAAAATGTTATCGTGTATAGAAAATGCAAATATAAACAACCAGTGAAAATTTCATGTATATACGTTCTTTTGTTTTAGAGTTACACCAATAACCAAAATCGATTTTTTGGAAAATCAATTTTGCGTAAAAATTCCCGTTTTTCCTTAATTTTTATGTTGTTTTTCCCGGCGCTTGTGAAAACTACTGTGAAATTTAAATTTTGACCTCCCCAATGCACCAACGATATTCACTTTCCAATCGAACAAGTTACTGAAGTCGAAAATCGAAGCATTATTTCGACTACTTATCGTGTACACAGATACAAAAAAATAAAAAAATAAAAAAAACACACATCATTGTAAAATCAATACATTCATCGTTTCACTCAGAATCTAAAATGAAAATGTCCCTAAACAGTTCAAAATAAATCAAAATATTTTGAAAATTTTATCGTGTATAGAAAATGCAAATATAAGCAACTAGTGAAAATTTCATGTATCTACGGTCATTTGTTTTAAAGTTACACCAAAAACCAAATTCAATTTTCTGGAAAATCGATTTTGCGTAAAAATTCCCGGTTTTCCTTAATTTTTCTTTTGTTTTTCTTGGCGCTTTTGAAAAGTACTGGGAATTTTAAATTTTGACCTCCCCAATGCACCAACGATATTCACTTTCCAATCGAACAAAGTGTAATGTAGTACGCTGCAGAAATACCGAGAAGTAAATTAGAATCTGACATTACTCCAAGTTTTAATCTAACCGCACGTCCCCACGTTGAAAAACGACTGATCGTGTACGCACAGTTGTGGACAGTAAAAAGCATGCGTTTAAAGCACTCAACAATCGCATGCGTTTGTCGAATGACGAAGAGCAAGTTGAAACGCAACCCACACAACATTTTTCAATGTAACTCATTAAATAAATATTGGTTTTTCGTTTAGTTGAAAATATTTAAATTAAAATATTTTTAATACACTTAATAAATATATAATAGTATATATATATTTTTTAGAATATATAAATATTTAATCAATGTATAATGTTTGATATATATTTTTAAAAATATATTAATATTTATTAAATTTATCAAATCAAATATTTTTAAATAAAATATATTAAATATTAAATAATTGTTTATGAATTATGATTATATAATAATATATAATTATATATATTATATAATAATAATGCCCGCGTATAGTATAATATAATATATATAGCTAGTAGCAGTACATAATAATATATTAATTATGTATTATAAAAATTATAATTTTTTTATATTATAAAATTATATAACTCAGAGATAATATAAGGTATAGCACGCTTTCTGCACTGGAGTTGAAAAATCAGTGGATTGGTGTTTTGAATACTTATGCAGGATAACCCTCTACGTCCATGTTTATAAGTTTATTATTGATTATCAGTGGCGCAACCAGCTCCGAACCCCCTCCCCCCCCCCTTGGCACGAATAATAGTATTGTCAGTAAAAACATAATATACTTATTGTTTATACAAATTATAATGGTTTATTTTGTCTGGCCCTCCCTATGAAAAATTTCTGGTTGCACCACTGTTGATTATTATCTTTTCTGACCTATATTACGTTTATAATTTACTTATTACTACCGACTACCACCTATCAAGTGGCGGCTCGTGCTAATAATAGGGGCACACGGGCACGTGCCTCACCTACAAAATTAAGAAGAAAGAAAAAGAATTTATATTAAATTAAAATCAAATAGGCATTTCTTCCATCATCATATAAATATAGTTGGTACTTCAGACTTCAGTATACTTGGTATATTATATTATTATCAAATAGGTGTATTATCGAGAAAAAAATCTTATCAAATACGGGCACCGCACCGATATATACACCGATTTCAAATAAATTGAATACAAGAATATTAATAGGTTCAACGATTATCGTGAGAGTTAACACGTTCACCATAGCATTAGTATAATAGCGATAGCTTCATGCCACGGCTGTATAATATAAAATATAAATGGTTCACAAATCACAAGTCACATTCAAACCAGTCATGATACTATGAAAGTGGTATAATATGTTAACCTAACCGTGGTATATAGTTGTACATCATCCCGATTCCCGATTGTGCGAAATTTGTATTGCCACCTGACGCATGCGCGTGGTTCGGTTATTCGCGACTCGCGGCGGTTCGTGTTCGTCCGTTATTCGCCGTTGGTTCGTTTACCGTTTTTTTTTTTTATTACTTTGTTGGTCGCTTTTTCGTTTGTGACGTTATTCACGTTATTATTTGCTAATTAGTAATTTCTCTACTAAGAAAATCGCCATTTTCCTGTTTATTTCTTATATAATCAAGTTATCGCGGCGCTTTTCAGTTATTTTAACCTTAAATGTTTGCCTTAATATTCATGCATTCTTTTTAACCCACAATAAGGAACACGTAGTGTAGTTCGGACAGTATTCGGTTTTGTTTTACGCGTCGCCATCTGCATCACCACGTGCGTGGACAAGGCGTGTGTTACGTTACCGCTGTTTGTAGTTTGGTACGAGTACTTATAGGTTCACCAGTTTTGGCAAACAAACAAGCACGCCGTCGTTTGCAAATCGTTTTATTAGTTGCCATCGTTTCTGCCGTTCAGTATAGGTATATACGAACACGTCGTAAAAGTGTGCGTCGTCTTTTGGCATCAAACGTGTTGCAGCCATAATCCTTTTGCCACACGCTTGGTACATGTTGTGCCAGTGACCAGTTATTGCAAGTATATTATTTACAGTTACCAGATCCACATAGATCCATATAACTGACCATTAGATGATAATATAATGCTACCTATATACATGCTAGGATTAATATATTAGGTACCTGTATAGATAAATCCTAGGGTGATTTATGTAGTATTATTTTGGTTTTTGTCTCTAACATAATAGGACATTAGTATTGATTTGGTATATTTAAACTTTAATACTTATATATATATATATATATAGGTATAATTAATTTACAAACACTTAATTTCACTTAATTAAGGCAGGTACCTTTTGGAATGGCACTTCATAAAAGTAAATCAACTAAACGTAGACGATTTTTAGAGGAATTAAAAATTGTAGATTTTATTGAAACAGACCAATTAATTGAACCTAATACAACCATATCACCTCAAAATACTCCTTGTAATAGTACTAGTACTAATAATTATACTCTTACTGAATTAAATGTAACTCCTCCAGTAGGGCGATTCTCTAAAGTTTTAGTCATACGATTTAGTCACTACCGTGACTAAAACTCATCATTCAGTCAAACATTTAGTCATGACGAACAATTAGCGATTCTCTATGAATCTATGACTAAAAATGATATTTTAGCCCGACTGAAAGTGGTGACTAAAAGTCACTAATCATTTGGCCCCTATTGGAGGGCGCCAATTGTGATTTAGTCGACTAAAATTGTAAATCATATGTTTATTTATTAATTATTTTCTCGTTTTGATTGTCATTGCATATTTGATACAGTTAACACTTTTCTTCGTTTGTTAAGCTTTAGTTTATTAATTTTTTTCCGTTTTGCGTTTAAATTGGTTATGGCATTATTAGGTCACATTTTAATTGCTGAGGAATATGTAAATCAAATGGCTCATCAACGATTTACTTTGCACAAAAGAATTTTGCGTGACAGTTATAATCCATTTGATTTGAGCGATTTTAATTTCAAAAAATTATATCGCTTACCTAAGAATGTGATTTTTGATATTATAGAAAATTTGCGGCCTGTCTTAACTAAAACTCGAAAAAATAGTTTAAGTGTAGAAATACAAGTAAGTATATATAACATATTACTATTTTTTAAACGTAAATACATTTTGACCAAAAACAATTGTATAGTAATACAACCAAGAGGTCGAGTCATCCTTTTAAGAAGACATCGATTAAACAACATTTTTGAGTGAACTTTATTAGCGGTTTTAATTACCAACCTACTAGGATATTCATTATATTTATATATAGGTAATATCCTACCTACATCAAAATTAAATAATTTAAATAATTTACAGTCACTATAACTTATTTACGAAATATTACGCAAAATCCCTACAAGGTTAAGTGTTAACTTTAAAAGGTTGACTTTTTCAGTTTTATAATGTGATTTTTGAATCTTAAACCAAAATTAAGTGATTGTTCTGATACTTTACATAGGCACATTTTTAACATTGGAAAATACGTATTTGTGTGATGTCTTCTTAAAGGTAAATGACAAAATAGTAAAATATAATAAATATTAGTTAGGTATTTTATAATAAAGGTTCTAACTACAATTCAGTTTTTGGCTTCCGGCTCTTATCAACGAGGTATTGGGCACGACTGTTTAATTCCCATAAGTCAGCCCAGTGTAAGTCGTTGTATACAACGGGTCACTCAAAGTTTTTTAACGATGTATGCCGGTCGATGGATAAGTTTCCCCAAAACTCGAGCAGAAAGGTCAAATATTTCTGATCGGTAAGTAAAAAAATAATATAAGATACCTATAGCTGTAGGTATAAGAAGAAACTGCAATTGTCTTATTTTGTCAACCTGATTAAAAAATAATTATAAGAAATATATTAATTATTTCTATTTATAAAAATAAAAATTCGGACGAGTAGAGTAGTTACCTAAGTTAATTAGCAACCTACCTTTTAGTATTTAAAGCTGATATGAGCAGGGCATACAGTGGAGTGTGTACTAACATTTTACAGGGTAGGTACTTCCACTGTGCCATTCCACTCCGCTAATCTTAACTTTAAATAATTAAAATATTAATTTTAGATTCTGAGGAAGCTAGTGGTTTTACAATGGTGTTTATTTTTATTTTTTTTCGATTTCCACATAATATAGTACCTTATCTTTTTACAAATTGGATCAATATGGTAGGTACTTTAGGGAGGTCATTATTCGATTTTCTCAATAGTTATTTAATGCCACGGGAAAATCTACTGACAAATTATGGAAAACCGCTTAAAATGGGATTTTAATTTCTAACCATATGTTTATCACCGTAGCTGTAGCAACAAATAACAATTTTTAATATTATAATATTTATTCAACTTAAAGGCTATAATAAATAATAAAAATTAAAAAAAATCTAGACTGATAAACCGTCTCCGCTTAGAATCGTTTTTCTTATACAATGATATTATATCATTGAATTCAAGTTTAATACAATCCATTATACATTGACCCACTTTTAACCTACTGTACAGCAAAGCGACATCCACTTACCCGCTTTTTATATTTGATATTATTTATTACTGTATTCAACTGCATATTTATTTCTTCAAAATGCTTGTTTTGCATGCTTAAATTGATGGTACTTTCAATTAAAAACGCTCAAACTTAATTTGTAAGTTATGGTCAAAAAATCTGTTTTTTAAAATTGTAATGTTTAGTTAATTTCACGAGGTAGACGTGGTGTGGTAATTTCCTATCTTTGATTAAGCAATTTGAGTATTATTTTTACAGCATTTAATGCGGGCAATGGCCGCCAAGAGCGCTAAGAATGCCGATACTTTAAATAATTATGTGTAGCGGTATACGCATTCAAATTTAGGAACGAATGTAGCTTACTTCCCAAGTGATTTTTTAGGAATATTTTATTTTGGAAATGTTAGTATTGTTATGCTCAATGTGTTGGTGAAATCAAAATGTCTACACCGTATTATCTACATCGTGAAATTAACTAATTAAAACAATTTTTGTAAAGAAATCCCAAGGGGGGGCTGGGTTATTGCCACATCCCCCCCCCCATAAATCCGATACTGTCCTGATATTATACTCTGTATTCTAGGTAGGTATATAAATTATAAATACAAAATACCTAATTAAATATGTTTAGATTTGCACAGACAACCACTTATCCGGGCGTATTAGGCTGCATTGACTGTACACACATAGCCATATTCCCTCCTAATGAACGCGAGGAAGCGTACAAAAACTTTAAAGGGTTTCATTCTTTGAATGTTCAAATGGTATTATAAAATATTAAATTACTTAATATTTTATATTTGTTTACATTCATTTTTTATATTTTAAAGGTGTGTGATTCTGAGATGCGAATTTTAAACGTTCTTGCATTCCCTGGTAGTGTGCACGATCAGTTTTTATTTACATCTAGTGCTTTAAGTACAGAAATGGAGAGATTACACACCAATAGAATTGGACAGTTTTATCTTTTAGGTAGGTATCTTATGACGAATAATTAGAATTATTATCAAATTAATATTTATAGCCCAGTGGCGTGCCGAACTGACAAGCAGACCTGAGGCAAACTATACAATTTGATCCCCCTCCCCACCACCAACAGTTTTTTCACTATTTTTTTTTATTATTTAAAATAATAAATATTATTAAGTTTTTTTAGGTATAAGTTGCACATCTATACTAGCACACCCTCCCACCTACCAGAATTTTCCCTGAGGCAATTGCCTCAAAAAATTACTATTCAGCACGCCTCTGTTATAGCCTACCTATATACTATAGGCATGATATTATACTCATAATTGTCTAGGTGATTCTGGTTATGCCTCTGAGCCGTATAATATGTTGATTCCAATATTACACGCAAATGAAGGGAGTCCTGAATACAGGTATACAAAGAACCACTGTTTGGTCAGAAATAGCATAGAAAGGGTATTTGGAGTTCTAAAAGGAAGGTATGTAAATATTTGTATTTATTAATATTAAAAATATCATAATATTGTGAGTAGGTACCTCCATTTTTCTGAACAGGTGGCGGTGTCTAAAAAAAGATTGTGTATTACACTATAAACCTCAAAAAGCGGGAGTTATTATAAATTGTTGTGCAATTTTACATAATATGGCAATACAGGAGTATACTTAAATTATATTTTTTTGTTTAATTTGGAATTTGACATGGTTAATTTTTACTTTTCAGAATACGCGAAGAGTATTTACATTACAATGTGGATGACAATATATATAATGAAAATCAACTGGCAGGGCATGACGGACAAAATATTCAAGATATTCAAGATAGACAGGGTGGAAGAGTTGTAAGACAACAAATTGTGCAACAATATTTTAATTAAATTATAATACATTACACTTTTTTTCCTATATCGAATATCAATATTTCTTTAATTTTGTTGGTATACATTTTTGCTATCTCTTTATAAATTATAATTATTATTAATTATTTTTTCTTAAAATTATATGTTTCTTTAATCAATAAAATAAATTACAAAATAAATATATACTTACCAAAAGGCTATAATTATTGTAATTCATTGTGGAATAGATTTCTAAAACTGTAAGTGCAATATGTAAATATTGCAATACACGGTTACCTACCTGAACATCAATTTTCATTAATTATTTCATACTACCTACCGTACAGTTATAACTTATAAGTAAGGTAAGTAGGTTAGGTTAGGAAGTGATACATTAAAATGATATGTCTTAACACCATACATTTTTAAATAGTGAACACAGTTTTCGTGCATTAATAATTAAACAGCAAAAACATGAGAAAAAATAAAAAACAAAATAAATATGTACTTACCTCGGTACTTACCTAAAGGCTGTAACTATTGTAATTAATGGTGGAATAGATTTTTATAACTCTAAGTGCAATGTTTAAATATAACTTACAATTATAACTCATAAGTCATCCAGAAGTGATACATTAAAATTATATGTCCCAACACCATACATATATAATCCATGCATTAATCTTAAGCAAAAAAAAAAAAAGCACAAGTACGAATAAACAATAAGTCAAGCAACCAAAAACTTATTAAACAGTTAGCCAATAAAACACAAAATAATCTTTTAAGCCTTTATTAATAGCATTATTAGCCAATTGTGCAGATATTACTGTAAGCGCGTTAGTTAACTTTGCAATGTTATCACTCATGCTGGTGATTACATGCACAACAGACCCCATCTGCTCTGTATTTTCACGAATAGCTTCAGTCATAGTCTTGAAAAAAAAAATTAAATGTTTAATACAACATAGTATATTATTCTTGCTATTAATTATGTTTAGCTTGTAAATTAGGTAGGATAACAAGCAGCAACCAGTAAGTAAAATTTAAATTTACTATTGAAGTACTATTATGATTTGATAATTTGTTTCAAAATTATATTTTAAAAAGGGCCCTGTTAGAAGTGGTATGAAGGCATTTTACTCTTCAAATGAGATACTTCTAGATCGATCATTGTAAGATATTATGTGTTGAATTTGAATTCAATAAATCATTAATATGAAGACTGCAAATAAGCCTTACTACCCACTGGCTACCAATATAAAATAAAATTATTTTACACTTAAAAAATAATTTAACATACATTGAATGAATAACTTACCATACATTGAATGAATATTGAATAACTTACCATACATTGAATGAATAACTTACCATCGATAAACTTAAACTTACTTTTAGAGTACTATTTGTTTCTTCCACAAGATTTTTATAGGTATCACCTTTGGATGGTTTTACTTTCGGTGTCAGTGGAGTGGTTAATTGTGAAAGGGTGATATTTTCATCTCTATTGTCAAACGTATTACCTTTATAATTTAAAATAACTGTGTCAGCAGCTATTTCCTAAAAAAATATATATAATATGAATAATAAATATTTATATAAGATAAAATAAAATATAGTTACTTCTAAATCCTCTATCCCTTCATTTACATAAATTTCTTCAGCCATAACAACTTCACCAAAATCTCCTTCTCCTTCATCCACAGTATTTGAACACTAAAAATATAGTAGGTATCAAATATTTTATATAAATTCTATTCAGAAGTTACTTAAAATAATATCCTTTTATTTTTAAAGCATTATTAAATAAAAATTATATTTCTAACAATAATTTATGACATTTGCAAGAAATGTATAGGTCTGACTTAGCACTTTTTAAGATAGGTTAAACTTTTAGGTAGGTAATAAATACAGAACAAATATGTTAATAATTAACATTCATTTGAACATAGCTGAACTTAATCAACAATATTTAAATTGCATTATTAAAGACATTTAGCAGGTAATAAATGAAGCATTAATTAAAGAATATTTGCATACCTCACCAAATCCAGCCTCTCCTACCCCAATACCAACTGAAGTTTCAGTACCAATTATTGATAAAATTAGTTGATGACGGTCATTGGGTTCAGGGGGTTTATTAGAAGATGAATTCCCAGTCTGGCTCAAATACTTATTCCAAGCACTATTAACTTTACGAGCCATACATTTTTCATTACGCCAACACTGGAAATAATAAAATGTACAGGTATTTACTATTTTCTATTATTTTTGAACTTCAAATATTCTAATGCTTCATAGGTCTCGCTACACGTTCAGCATATAAGTGTGATAGACACATAATAAAGAAAAACATTCAAGATAGGTAATTACTTTACATTAAGTAATGCTAGTATATGGTAAAATATTTTAATTATACTAATATCTACTTGTAATATTGTAGTCATAATAAATAATGTAAAAATAAAAACATGATTATTTTATTGTTGAATATAAACATGGGTGAAGTTGGGTGGCCAAAAATAGGTGAATATTATAATATAATATTATTATTTTTAGCTAACTATATTAAAAAACTAATCAAGAAAATAAATAGTTGTTAGCAATTGCCAATTGGTAATGACTAATGATAAATACTAAACATACTATACCTACTTAGATATTATAAAAAACAGGATATAGTATAGGAATTTAATATTACTTTTTTCCACTGCTCTACTGTCTTAGGAGGTCCCATTTCATTGAGATTGTCCGCTAATTCTGCCCACTCGACGTCCATTTGCCTTTTTCCATTATGAGGATCTTTGAATTTTCCTGCGGCAAATTTTGGTTCATTACTCATGTAATTAATGAGTGCAGCTATCTGATCGGACCCTCTTTTTTTCTTTTTGTCCACGCTTACAAATGAAAACAAATTCAAATTATAGAAAGTTATATTGGTATAGTTACTAATTTCTGAACATTAACTGTGAAAACTACTATATTATATCATAATAAACTTACTTTTTTGAAGACATACTTTATTTTTGAATATCCTCACAAAACAAAACAAAACTAAAACAACAACACAAATGGCTTCAACAACTCTAAGCCTTTAATAATTAAAATCAAATACTGTATAAAATATAAATATTATATTAATTATAAATATAAAATATCATAATCATATAGTACCTACTGTCCTACTATATAGAAATGCAATACGGCATTATCAGCACTCGGCATTTCAATTTTCAAGATAATTATGCTTACAATTTATTATCTGTTATAATAATTACGGTTAATTATATTGGCCACATTGTAAAATATACAATAATACCGTATTCTAATTAAGTCATTTAATATTTTAGTCACTTGTACACTTTTAGTCTTTGAATATTAAGTCGTCTAAGTTATCAGCTTACGGAATCGGAAAAATAAAAAGACGCCAAATGTTGGGTGACTTAAAAATGCCATGACTGAATAAATTTTAGTTTTAGTCATGGTATAGAGAATCGCCCTGCAGGACCCCATGCAGGACAAAATTTGTCATTTGATTTTGATTACACCAATGATGCATGGAGTGATAAAAGTGATGATTTTAGTTTAACATCTGATTCAGATATTGAAGAATTTTATAACAATGAATTTAGCCATGAAAATAGTTTTATTAATAATAATTCATCAATTTTAAATAAACTAAGTGAGTGGGCTGTATTATATAATATTACTAATGTTGCTTTGAGTGCCTTATTACAAATGTTGAAAACTCACAACTGTTATAGTTATTTCCCTATTGATGCTAGAACTATTTTAAAAACTAAATCATCTAATAATTTGCATGTACAAACTGTATCACCCGGAATTTTTCATTATTTCAAAATTAAAAATAGCTTAAATATAATTTATAATCATCAATACTTTTTGGATGATATCATTAAAATAGTGATAGGAGTGGATGGTCTCCCTCTAAGTAAAAGTTCCTCAAGTTGTTTCTGGCCGATTCTTGGATATATTCGTAACCCTTATTATAAACCGTATGTTTTTCTTATAGGGTTGTATTGGGGCAAGGATAAACCTCTTAATTGCAATGATTTCTTATTAGATTTGGTTAATGAACTAAAATATTTATACAAAAATGGTTTTCAAACAAAAAACGGTTTAAAACGTGTGGTTGTAGATACTTTCTGTTGTGATTTATCGGCTAAAAGTTTTATTCTGAAGACAAAAGGTCATACAGGTTTTTTTTCATGTACCAGATGTACAATTGAGGGTGTTTATTATGAACGTAGAGTTTGTTTCCCTGGTGTTGATTTTACTAAAAGAACTCACTTAGATTTTATTAACAGAACAGATGAAGAATTTCATATGACGGATAACATTCCCATTATTACTGAAATACCTGAAATAAACCTTGTTGACAGTTTCAGCCTTGATTACATGCATCTTGTTTGCTTGGGAGTAACAAAAAAATTAATTTTACTATGGCTTGGTATCATAAAAAATTCTCCTACTTCTGTAAGACTTCAAAGTAAAAAGGTTATAGATGTTAATGAACAAATGTTATCTTTAAAACGTTCAATATGCTCTGATTTTTCTCGCCTTCCAAGGGGGTTAAATGAAGTTCTCAGATGGAAGGCAACAGAATTCCGTCAGTTTCTATTATATACAGGTCCAGTAGTTTTAAAAAATACTATCAATGATAATTGTTACTTACATTTTGTTTGTTTACATGTTGGTTTCCGGGTTCTTTTAACTCAAAATAGCAGTACAGACCTTATTAATTTTGTAGAAAAATTACTTAAATATTTTGTTAATGAATTTGAAGAATTATATGGCTGGCAATTTGTGT